CAGGTTAATCTGATGTAGGAAATTCCTTTATTGAGGCTTTCCTCTCAGATGACGCGAGGCTGTGCCAAACTGACAATTAAGGCTAACCAGGATAGTAGCCAAGGTGTGCCCACAATTACTTTAGAGTCAATTTAGTATGGCTTTTCCACTCTAACCTCTAATCTAATTTCTGCAAAGTAACACCTGGTAACTGGGGCCGAGGTAGAAATCTATGAAAGGTGTAGGGCTAGAAACACTTGGAATGCATCTGATGGACAATACTGATGCTGCAAAGAACCAGGACTGAAACTCCCATTTCAATATTCCTAGGGAACTGAAGCAAGTTGTTGCTAAAATTGGACCAGGCTCAGTATCTTAGCCATGATGCATAAGCTGAGCCAGTGCTGAGCTTCTGACGTGTCAGAGGCTCAGTTCAAGGGATTAAAAAAAATTGGCAAAAGCTGGTTCTGTGTCAACAACATTAGTACCTCCACCCCCAGCACACCCATTTTTATGTGAAATCTGGCTTCCCTCCTTTGGAAGTGATTTTGTCCCTAAAGAAGATGAAATAAAAAATTCAAAAGCTACTTAAACCTAGCATCTTCTTTTAAAAATAACAGATGAACAAGGTAAGGTTCAAGGAGTGCAGTTACTTATTGACAGTCACACAGCAAGTCCATCAATCCCAGGGTCTCCATGGCCCCTCATGTGAAAGGCAGTAAGTGAGCCTGTCTGTGCCTTATGGGGGATCGGTGCCTCTTAAATAAAATACCATATAAAACAGCCTCAACAGAGTGCTTAGCAAGAGAGCAAAGCAGATGTTTGGGGTTCATTCTCTTCTCCAGGTTTGTCCTCTGAGCAGGAGACTGAGATAGTTTGACAGATTGGTAAGCCTTGCTGTGCCACGTTCAAGTGCTCTTACCATTCTGTATACTTAAAAATAAGGCAAAGTGGAGGGTGGGTGTCCCTCTAAAATTAACCCCTTTCTATCCTTGAACTTCACATATTAGACGCAACAGTGGCGGGGGGGGCAAGAGGGGAAGTGTATGGGCGTGGGGGGGGTAATCTCAAAGAACAAATGGCACTTCTTCAGAGAAAGGATGGCCTGTGGGGCAGCAAGGGGTTTGCCTTGCTTATAAATCCAGGCTAATTAAGATTTTCTGTGGGTTTTTCAATTAAATAAGCACCAGGGCCAAAGATGCCTTGCTGTGAGAGGCTGCCCTCTGCTGTGGGTTTTCATTACTGCAGGAAGCATGGATCTTTGGAGATCCTGGGCCAGGCAGGGATCTAAGTCCAAGAATCTTAAGACCATGTATGTGGTAGTAGAGGACCCTGACCTTTTCAAGCTCTGCCCTCCAAACTCCAAGTAGACAAAGAATCCCCACAAGGTTTGTAACCAAAGGAAAAATTGTTTTGAGATCATCCCAGATCAGAGGATGTTGTTAGGAATGGACTCACATTACTGATAATTGGGCTTGAGGCCAGGGAAAGGCTCATAGGAACAAAGGCAACTTTGGAAGAATCCCACAGACTGAGGTGTATAGCAAATTATTACACAATAGCAAGTACTGAGCTTGAAGAACCAGCAAAAGGCAAATAAGAGATGATGGGCTCCTCTTTCCATATGAAAAATGCTTAGTAATTTCCAGGTCAACTATGCTGGTCTGACAATCTTTTATGGTACCCAGACTTGGAGAAAGCTTTCAGACTGATATAAGCTTTGGTGATCATGGTAGACTAACAATGCAAATCCTCTGTCTCTTGGAGCAATTAAAGTCTGGATGGTTACTTACAAATGGGGAGAAAGCTCATGATTCTGGCTACAGAGAAAGTTAGCTGGTCTTGATCAGTGGTCCTCAGAGTTTATGATTTCACAGATCAGAAAAAGTCTAGGACTGGGGTTGTAGTGCAGTGGCAGAGTGTCTGTCTAGTATGTGCATGGCTCTAGGTTTAGTCCATAGGACTGAAAAAAAAAAAAAAAAAAGGCCATACTGAGCCAGTGAGATGGCTGCTCAGCAGGTAAGGACAATTGCCACCAAATCTGACAACCTGAGTTGGATCCCAGGGACCCACATGGTGGAAGGAGAGAACCAACTCCCACAAATTGTCCTCTAGCCTCTACATGTGCACCATGGCAGACACACATGTGCACAGAGAATAAATAAATGAAAAAAAGAGAAATTTCCAGAGCCAGTCTGAGGAGTTTCATATAGCTGAAGGACATTTATCAGCAATCGCTATTCAATGTTATCATGATCTCTTAGAAGGAATCATTTAAAACAAATTTAAAATCAAAGGCAAACCTTATTGAAGAATTCATTCTGGAAAGTGATCAAATTTATTTATATGCACTTCTCAAAACAAGACTTCAACTTTTGATGTGAACCATTGAAAATATATTCATCAAGCACTACTGCTTGCCTGTTACAGAAACTTTAAGCATCAAAAAAGCTGATCAGCTTTTGGACAAAATAAGAAAGAGTCCCATGTAATCTGAGTTTATGAGAATTCTTGAGCATCTACTATCAGCAGAATGAGATGTCATATCCCCCTGCACCAGGAGAAGACAGGACATTGACCAACACTGCCTATCTTCACTTGGGCCTTCTGGTAGGACTCAAGAGAGCCAAAAACACATGAAAGCCAAATCAGGTGTATACTACATTCTCTTGATGAAAGTCTAGAGCTGTCCCCATGGACTCAAAACATCATATAATCTCAAAGTTATAAAGCTACTTGTATAAAAAGACTAATTAAAAAAAAAACATTCTTTTGGAAGTTGCTATATACTGAAGAGAGCTGATCCCAGTTTTCAGCTCTCTCTGCACCCACATCTTCACTCATTATGATTGTGGAGATTTCTCTCTTCCTCACCTTCAACTTGTCCATGACATGCTATAGCCAATGAAAATTGGGTGAAGAAAAGTTCCTGAAATGAAGGAAGCTTTACACTTATTTGTCTGCAAGGCTGACCAACTGATTGGAGCCCCAATATGATTGTGGAGAGGTTGGAATGTTGCAGGTCAGAGCCTAATCATGATTCTTCTTAGGCTATCTTTAGCTATCTTAATAGCCATTCCTTTCCCACCTCTGCATCTGACCCGAAATCCAAGCGACTAACAGGTGAAACCCTTTGAATGTATTAACAGACCGCTAGCTTCCAGTAACCAAACGGCTAAGAATGCTGTCAGATAGCCTCAGAGGCATACAGCAGAGCCTTCCCTACTTTGCTGTAACCTGCCTACCAGATGTCTCCACCAATGTATTTAAAAAGAGCCTGATTTAGGACTTTTTTTGTTCTGCTACTATAAAACTTTATGAAACTATTAACAGATTGGAATGTGGAATTGGGAGTACCCTAAATCCGTGTTCTTCAGCTCTGGTCTTTGCATATTCTCTTTCAGAAAAGAGCTGTTTTTGCATCTACAGTGGAAATGACAGCATGCCAGCTGCAAACTCAGGTTTTAGGAGACCTCATGATGGTGATGTTGAGCCTGTTCTCCTGTACCTCTGTGCCTGCCTGGAGGAGAGCAAGGCCACACTAGCCTAGGCCCAGGAGATGATCAATGGCAAAGCAGGGACACTCATCTACTCCCCATTCTCCTGAGATTCTGGGGTTCCTTCTTACACACAATTATGGTGGCAACAGATCCAAACTTTTGGTACAGACACAATGACATGATGGTGTTTAGCCGAAGGGAAGATGGGGAATGAGGCACTGTACATTTCCTTCTTACCCTCATTCTTCCCCAGCTTTGGTCTTGACTTTGCCCGTGTAGGTCCAGTGAGGAGGTAAGAAGTCAAGAGCCTTACCGTCCTTCCAAAATATGAATACTAAGTGTCATAAAGTTCCTCTCAAGCAAAGAAAAATAAGATCAAAAAGCATCTTTCGGGGGCTGGAGAAACAGCTCAGTGGTTGAGAACACTTGCTGCTCTTACAGAGGACATGGATTCAGTTCCCAGCACCCACATGGAGGCTAACAACTACCTGTAGCTCCAGTTTCAGGGGATCTGGCATCCTCTTCTGGCCTCATTGGAAACCACATGCATGTGGTGAACATATGCACATTCAGGCAAAACACTCATATACATGAAATAAAAATAAATCTTTTTAAAAAAGCATCTTCATATTCTCTAATTTTTGTCACTTAACTTCAATATATGTGTAAATTTTTCAAATATATGCATTTTTAAAATTAATACTGTGTTATGTGTGTATGATGTGGGGGTATGCATATCATAACATGCATAGGGAAAGCCAGAAAACATTGTGGAGTCAGTTCTGTTCCACTTTTACTTACTTCCAGGAATCAAATCAGGTTACCAAGCTTGTACAGCAAGCATTTTGCCCACTGAGCCATTCCCCCTCTCATTACTCTTTTTTTTTTTTTTTTTTGGTCTTTTTGAGATAGGGTCTCCCTGTAGCCCAAGCTGTCCTGGAACTCACTATGTAGACCAGGCTGGCCTTGAACTCACAGAGCTATGCCTGCATCTGCTTCCTGAGTACTGGGATTAAAGGTGTGTGCCACCATGCCCTCATTACTTTTTATAAGCACCGAGTTTTGTAATTTTTACTTGCAGTTATTACAAATGTTTTATGGATAATCCTGCAGTTGTAACCGTTAGAAGGCAAATGCAGCCTAAGCTGATGAAATTAATTTCAATTTTACAACTTAATAATGTGCAAACATGTGTAGGGCACTTAACTTTCTAAACTTGTTTTCTTATCTATAATACCACAGTCATGTTGAACAAGCCCTTTTACCTTCTGAGTCTTCATCCTCTACAGAATGGTAACTGTTTTTTTAAACAGATAATATGCAACATAATTTTTGTAACATGCAAATCTAAGGTGATTGATTCCTAGACAGACCACAATACCACAGTGTTGTTTTCAAGGGCACTCCCGTTTAATGGTGCTTAACAAGGCCAGCTGAATTAACGTAGTCAATTAATGGATACGTAGTCATTAAACATTGCTGATCTATAGATGAAAAATCTTATGAACTTAAGTGGGATCTATTTAGTGAGAACTAGCCAATCATAAAAGAAATTTCAATTTAAAGAGGTTTCTCAGGAAGCTTAATTTTCTATTAGCTCCAATATTATGATTAATGTTCCATTGAGTCTGGGGTGGTCATGGTCATGAAATCCTATCCTACCACCAACGACAGTGAACACAAGATTCTAAGTATCTTTACTTTGTGGTGGGACAGAATGGGTAAACAGTAGCAGGAAGAATCCAGCTGCCAGAGACAGAACCCAGATCAAAAAACCTGCCCTCTAAAAACTAAGAACACATTCAAAATGAAGCTTTTATGTGGCTTATAATCAAGCCTGACTTCAGTTCACATACTGAAATGTATTAGACATAATGGGTCATCTTTCCAGAGAAATGTTCAGCTTTATTATTCTTGCATAGCTCTGAGCTGATGTCGCAGGCTCTCCAACTGGACTCCAGCAGAGGTGGGATTCCAATAATCTTTACAGCACGACCCTGAGACCTGTGTGCAGGAACCGGCCCCAGAATGTCACAATTAGTTCCATGTGTGAGAAAGGGTAAGATATAATACATTGCTGCGTTGTTCCTCACAGATTTCTTGTGGTTTTTTTTTTTTTTTTTTTCTTCATTGTCACATAGTTTTAAATGGAACTTTTGTATCCCTGCTGTGGGACTCAGATTCCCGAAGATAAATTAAGAGGTTGGAAACAAAATATGTAGATAATACTGGTTCTATCAGGACTCTGGTAATAAATAGCTTAAAATCAGAGGATGCATCTGAATATGGATATACAAGACTTTTTAAAAGGAAAAAAGTTAACACTCAGCTAACAAATACCATCTTTTCCTACTGGTAATAATAGTCCAATTCATTCAGCTAAGCTATTTGCTATGGAATTAGCAAAATGGGGTCTGAGGGGATGTCAGTCAGTTAGGAAAACTTCATATTACAGGAAAATTGGGTGGGGCTTTTTTGTTTACTTGGACTCAAGTTCAAGAGTAGAAATTACCTACTAGTCATGGTATCTAATAACAGCTTCAGCTATTGCCAGGCACCATGCAGAGTTAGCCTTCCAGATCTGTAAGTTTTGAATTCTTGGATTCAACCAAAATATTCACACGCAAATTGTATGTGTACTATAGATGGACTTTTGTCCTTTGTTATTATTCCCTAATCAATACAGTATCAATTAGTAACATATTAGCATAACATTTGCATTACATTATGGAGTTGTTGGTTTGAGTACTTTGAGACAGGTTCTATACTTGCCAGCCTCAGACTCATGATCCTCCTACCTCTGCATCCTGGGTGCTGGAAATACAGGTGTGCATCATCATATCTGCCCCTTTATGTTTTCTAAGTGACGTTGGTGTGTCCATTCTTTTGATATTGTGACATGACAACCTATAAATTTCAAGTTCAAGAACTGTGTGATTGAGTTACAAAAAGAAATTCATAAAAAGATTTCATAATGTCTTAATTATGCTTTGCCAATTTACACAAAGGACTTGAACATCCTTAAGAGTTTGGAATCATCTTTGAAGCACCCTCCTTGGATGCCAAGTGCTGACTGTGGGAGTCATGTGATCGATCCTCACAGCAGCCTTGTGAAGTAAGTATGAATGTCTTCATGGTGCAAAGGAATTGGGCCCTCGTGAGGTCAGTAAATACCCTGTTCAGAAGTGCCAGAAACTGAACCCACGCAAAACACTCCAAATGCTGTCCAGAATAACTCCAGAATTTTCTAATCTTCTGTAGTCAGATGCCTTAAGCATAAAACCAATTTTTGTGAAGGATTAAATTTTAGATGACAAAGGTGTAACAGCTCCCTCAACAACTCACAGCTCAGCCCACTCATACCCACCTGCCACCTGCCAGACCAGGACCCAAGTTGAGAGAATTTTAAGCAACTCAAATATTAAGGAAATATTTATCACTTCTCAATCACCCATAAGATAGAAGTTTTATATTTATGAATAAAATAATTTTATATAAATATTTTAAACCATTTCTCTTTTAATTTTCAGAGTTTATAGACCTTCGTTTGAAAACCACTACATGAGACTTAGAATCTGGCATCAGCTATACCACCAAGTTTATTTCCTTATGAAGAATCACTTTCTCTATAAATCACTTTTCTCAGTTGGATATACCAGGAATGTCACAAGCTGTCCTACACCTAAGATTCTTTAGGGGAAATAAATGAAAAGGAGTTTATGTTGAGATTAAGTAAAATCTTAAGTAGAATGAATCTATTTTTCAAGCATTGAACAGTTGAGTCTATGAGAACAGAAAGCCTTACCTGGAGAAATTTCTCAAACTACTAACAGAGATACTAAAAAAAATAATAAGCCAAACTATAGTAGCAGAGGCAATTGGTAAAGACTAATGACTTCTTAACGGGAAGAACACTTCCCTCAAAGATGACTTGAGTAGAGTAAGTTTAAAGTGTGGGGCAGCAGTACCTGAGGTAGTGAGCAGCCAACTACGGGGACGGAAGGCTGATAGGGGTTCGGAGAGCCTATATTCATATGAGCAAAGCAGAGCTGCCTCATGCCAGCTCTGGAGACTGCTTTTAGAGAAAGGATTACTTTCTAGATAACTTGCCTTTGGTGCAGGTGGAAGCTAAAGGAATCACCAGTACTACACCCTGTCTCTTGATCTGACTACATGTCACAGGCCTTGTGGAACTACAAACCTGGGGGAGACCTCTCACCACAGCCATGTCAGGCATGGTTCCCCCAGGCACACTCCACTGTCTTCCCTCAAGATCAACCTCACAAAGCTTAACAAGATCCATGAGCTGACATTTATAGGACATATGGGAGGCATGCTGTACCACAGGTCATCTTACTTAACTTTTACAAGTAATGCTCCCATCAGAGCCATGGATGTCAATGGGAGAAAAAAAAATCCCAGAAGGCCAAACAAACTTATTGATCTATTGAAAATCTTTTTTTTTGGGGGGGGGCATAGTAGAGTTATATTACAGTGAGCAAATGATACCATTGTCAGATATAGTATTACAATGTAATAGGTAATATGACATATTCACAGTAAAATTATAATAGGAATTAATCAAGGCAGCAACGAGTGATACATAGGAATATTGATATAACAAATATATATATGTGTGTGTATGTGTGTGTGTTCTTATTTCTTCTATTGATTTCCCTAACAGACGTCTAATTTTATAAGACAGCAATTTAACAAATATGTTTGGGTTTTTATTCTTTTCAAATTTTTTTAACCACTTAGTCACACACTTAATTCTGAGATGCATAATGGCTCAGGAGCTTTTATTAACTTTTACAAAAACTTTACTGAGAATTTCATACTTGCATATAAGGTGTTTTGAGATCAAATCCATGCCCACTCCCTTCCAACACCTCCCCATCACTTTTTCCTTTTTCTTTTCTTTTTTTTCTTCATTTCTTTTTATGGGGCTTCTGGCTACTCTAACATTCCCCCCTCTGAAGAGGTAACCCTAAAATCTTTTAAGGATTAGATACAAGCTCCCAAATACTTTTGACATTTTTGGCCTTTGGAACAGAGTATGTTGCTAACAGTCCCAAGGACATTTTTGACTTTTAGCCAAGAAACTGGCTTCTTTTCTTTGGCGTCTTTTCACCCTAACTGCCTAGCCAATTCCTACCTCCTGTTCTTATCATGCCATCCTCTGAAGGGGTTACCCAAACTGCCAATAGGGAATAGGGATGCAGACCGCTCTGGCTTCTTCCATGCTGAACGGGAACACAGGGTGAGGCAACTGGAGTCCCCCTTCAGTGGGTCTATCTAAAAGACTCCCAAATTGCATAACTCTTATCTCTAGGGGGAAAATAAAGTCCTTGAATCATGAATAGGAGATGTGAATGAAAAGTAAAGGCGAGAGTAATTAGCATTACAAGTTCTAAACAGGGAACTAGAAAAAAGTCAGAACAGGGCAATTTTCAAATGTTCATCCGAGAGTCCATTGGAATTTCTTGACAAGGGTTTCCAAAAGCATCCCTCTATTGGGTTCATCCTCATTTCTCTTTTGTCTCCAAGGCTGGACTCTATAGAGTGATGGATTCAGGATTTGCTTTCAGGTATTTTGATAGCTGCTGGAACAGTTAGAATCAGTGTCAGTTCCCTTTCAAAGGCTTCATGATAACTGAGGGGTTGCTGAGGTGTATGTATGACCTGAGGGTTTGCACACTGGATAGCCTTTACCCAGCATGGGTCATGCCTTCTCTTCCTAGCCTTCCCCAGACTGTATACTTTAGCCCTCCCCAAATCCAGGAGGCCATGTGTGATTAGGGTCAAATTACATACAGTTGGCTGGGAAGAGTGGATGAATACTCCAGTAAGAGTCCAGTGACACTGCTTGGCCCTCCTTTATTGAATGAGCACAACCATCAATAAGCACAATTCTGATGATGTTTAGTGATCAGACTCAGCCGAAGTCGTGATGCTGGTAGCTATTTCATGCAGAAGGGACTGCTGTATAGCATCATCTTATTAAAAGGACCAGGAATTTAAAAGGATTTGGTGCTAGGAACCACAAATGAGGGAGAACATAAGTCATTTGTTTTTCTGAGTCTGTGTTACTTAGTATAACCGTTTCTAGGTCCATCCATTTACCTGCAAATTTTATTATTTCATCTTTCTTTACTGCTGAATAGAACTCCATTATGTAAATATATACCACATTTTTGTTAACCACGTGACAGTTGAGGGACACTTAGGTTGCTTCCATCTCTTAGCTATTGTGAAAAGAGCAGCAACAAACATGGTTGTACAAGTGTCTCTACAATAGGATGAGTCCTTTGGGTATATGCCAAGGAGTGGTATAACCGGGTCATATGGTAGATTCATTTTTAGTTTTTTAAGAGTTCTCCACACTCTTTTTAAGAGTTTCTATAGAGGTTGCCCGAGTTTGCAATCCCACCAGCAGTGAATGAGTGTCCCCTTTTCTCCACATCCTCACCAACATTTGGTATCATTTGTTCTCTTGATCCTAGCCAGTCAGATTGGAGTAAGATGATACCTTAGGGTGGTTTTAATTTGCATTTCCCTAATTACTAATGATGCTGAACACTTTGAGATGTTTCTTAGCCATCTTTATTTTGTCCCTTGAGAACTCTTTGTTTAGATCTTTAGCTCATCTTTTAATTGGGTCATTTGGTTTCTGGATTCTTTTCTGAGGGTTTTCTCTTCACTTTTTTGCTTGTTTCTTTTGCTATACAGAAGCTTTTTGTTTAATGAGGTCCCACTTGCTGATTGCTGGCCTTAATTCCTGAGCAACTTCTATCCGATTTAGAAAATCCTTTCCTACACCTAGATCTTGTAAGTTACTGCCAATATTTTCTTCTAATAGTTTCAGGCTTTCCAGTTTCACATTAAGGTCTTTGATCCATTTTGAGGTGACTTTTGTGCAAGGTGAAAGATAAGGATCTAGTTTCATTCTTCTACAGGTGGAGATCCAGTTTTGCCAGCACCACTTGCTGAACATTCTGTCT